AAGGATAAGAGATAAGGACGTCTCATGTCAGTAACGCGTTTCCTTAAGTCCTCTCTCCTCGCATGTTTTCTGTGCATTTTTTTCTTGAATCTTACATGGGCAGGACTAAGACGCAACTGAGGGAAACAACAGTGAATATTAACAGACTTGAGAAACACCCAGGGGAGTCCGTTTGTTTTGTGTCTCCCTAGACCCTTTACCAGATGAAAAGAAGTTAAGAGTAACTTTAGGAAAGGCTACGTTTTATTCAAGTGTGACTGTAAGCCAGTATGCACAATACCGGGCTCAGGAATGAGAAGCTGTCACATGGAATTGAGCCATGATGATTTTACCGTTTACATATCTGCTTCTATAATGTCTTAGATGAACATGGGCCTGTTGCGGGGTAGTTTGCTTACGGTGCCAAAATAAGATCAAAACATCACATAAAGATCCAGGTAAAGGAAATTAGCTGAGTTTTTAAACTCTTAATATTTATTATTTATCCAGGGGTTTTTGTTTTGTCATGAAACATAAGACTGAAACATTTTCAGAGGCTTTAACTTTTATTTAATTTCTTAATGAAGAGCATTAATTTTTGCCAACACCCCCCCAGCACTTCATACGCAGTGGGGCAGCACTGTAGTAATTAAATGATTTTATTCTGGGTTTTAATGTTTATTGTTTAATGTTGTTAATGTTTCTTTGCCTGTGTAAAGCACTTTGAATTGCCTCTGTTTGACGTTTGCTGTATAAACAAAGCTGCTATCCCTAGTAATATAAACACACTTCAAGAACCAACGGTGATTTATGCACGACGAACAAACCAGATGAAAGCTATGAGCCTCTACCACCGATTTCAGCTTGTATCAAGAAACAGGTGGCATATCAGTACTGGCCACTGTAGAGATTTGAGAAGTGACAGATCTAAACAATGGCAAGCCCAGGTTCCTTAGGAAAGAGCGCTCACTCACCACTGTCTCCTTTGTTCATTGCAAAACCTGAGGCTTTTCAAATCCCTCCAAAACATATAAAAGTATTACATGTGTGACAAGTGATAAAGTAAACAAAATGTGAATAAAAATGTGAAGGTTTCAGTCAAAGGACCATCATCAGCAGAGAACCTGTAATTTTACAACTGCACAGTGTATTACATTACATGAATCCACTCACATGTTCCACCTACCAGCTTCAGCAGTGCGCAGCAGGCAATCAAACACTTGGTCTGGCTTAGTTTCACAGAAGTGAATGGAGAACGCAGCTGTACTGGATTTAAAGCAAACGTGAGCTCAATCAGAAAGTACAGTAAAGTTTAAGAGTTAAGTAGAACAAGCGGAAAATGTACTGAGTCCAACAGCACAGAGAAAAGTTCTTAACAGGAGGCTGTGTGAGTTTTACCCTTTCTACTCCAAAGTGACATAAAACGATAGGGGTGTGGGGAGGAATCACAAATAGATCTGCTTTACTGCAGGGGTGACCAAATATCAGTGAAGCCAAAATATTGTACACACATCAGCTATAATAGCTACCAAAAACCACAGAAGGCGCCTCTGGAAAAAAAAAAGCATTTTATTTGTACTTTGAGTTTTTAGTTTGATTAACGTTCCATCCGTTAACATTGAGGGGGCAGAATTTATTACCCATACTGCAACGAGCCACCAGGGTGCTATCAACTTGTGGTAGCTTCATTTCTAGGAACCGTCACATCATCCATTCTTATATACAGTCAGTGGAGAATATCTTCTTAGCTTCAGCCTAGTGCTCCAATAAGAGGCTGCTGAAGGCTTTGAGGTCCAGTCAGTGGAACTTCATGTGTGCTGATCTGTCGCCACTGATGCAAAGGCTAAAGGTGCACGCCTCAGTACACTAATCTGCACGGGCAGACAAGTGCAAACACTATTCATCACCATGGCACTGGCTGAGAGACTTTGGTCCTCAGTACACACCACATCAGACCATAGCATCTCACCCCACAGTGTTCATGAAGAGGCTTTTAGCACATTACAAAAAAAGCAGCTGCAACTTAAAACAAGCCAGCCAACAAGCTCACAGTGAGTAGAGCTACTAGAACGGCCAACAGTCCCATGCACGTCCAAGTCTGAGCTAAATGCTGCTACTTTTTCCACAAGTCTCTGTGCAGCTCTGAAGGCTTACCACACACAACTTTTCACAGTCATCTTACATCACTGTGTGTTTGATCAGGGGGGTAATAAAGTTCCCATCTGGCTTCGCAACAGACTCTGGCCTACAGAGGTGACAAATGTTTGTGGAAAACCACAAGAACTGCACAATCCTGAAAAAAAAAAAAAAGCCTCGTGTTCCCCCTATCGAAGGTTATAAGAAGAATTTTTGAACAGTGATTCAAATGTGCCATTCTTCCTTCTGGATGCATTAGCACCTAAAGCTAAAATGTTTGTTTTGGTGAAAACAATGACCTAGCACAGTCAGGAGTTTACTTTTGAACTGAATTAATTTGGGAGTAATTTGAGCTTTGTGTCACATTAGACTGCCAAATATCATTAGTTAACATTAGCTTTACACTAGAGGTTGTCTTTTGAACAGTAGGAAACAGGATGTGATGGGAGGGGCAAAAAGCTGTTAGGAACTGCTTATGGGGTCTGTCTCATGTCTCTTATATGACTGTTCCTTGATCGACCCGGAAGTCATTCAAGTCCACCAAAGATGTTCCAAAACACTCATATTGGCCCCAAGGAGTGAGGAGAGATGAGCTATGAGAGAGGATACACGAGACCATCCTTCCTTCTTTTGTGAACCGACACACTTCTTTATCGGAAATGAGTTAATGACCAGATGCTTCAGATGAAGGATAAGAGATAAGGACGTCTCATGTCAGTAACGCGTTTCCTTAAGTCCTCTCTCCTCGCATGTTTTCTGTGCATTTTTTTCTTGAATCTTACATGGGCAGGACTAAGACGCAACTGAGGGAAACAACAGTGAATATTAACAGACTTGAGAAACACCCAGGGGAGTCCGTTTGTTTTGTGTCTCCCTAGACCCTTTACCAGATGAAAAGAAGTTAAGAGTAACTTTAGGAAAGGCTACGTTTTATTCAAGTGTGACTGTAAGCCAGTATGCACAATACCGGGCTCAGGAATGAGAAGCTGTCACATGGAATTGAGCCATGATGATTTTACCGTTTACATATCTGCTTCTATAATGTCTTAGATGAACATGGGCCTGTTGCGGGGTAGTTTGCTTACGGTGCCAAAATAAGATCAAAACATCACATAAAGATCCAGGTAAAGGAAATTAGCTGAGTTTTTAAACTCTTAATATTTATTATTTATCCAGGGGTTTTTGTTTTGTCATGAAACATAAGACTGAAACATTTTCAGAGGCTTTAACTTTTATTTAATTTCTTAATGAAGAGCATTAATTTTTGCCAACACCCCCCCAGCACTTCATACGCAGTGGGGCAGCACTGTAGTAATTAAATGATTTTATTCTGGGTTTTAATGTTTATTGTTTAATGTTGCTCTGAAGGCTTACCACACACAACTTTTCACAGTCATCTTACATCACTGTGTGTTTGATCAGGGGGGTAATAAAGTTCCCATCTGGCTTCGCAACAGACTCTGGCCTACAGAGGTGACAAATGTTTGTGGAAAACCACAAGAACTGCACAATCCTGAAAAAAAAAATCCTTTTGGGATTTAAAGTTCACAAATGGAAGCTGCAGGACTCAAAATAGAGCCAAGCAGAGAAACAATCTTGCATCAAAAGGCAATCAAAGAACATTTACAGCAGAACATGACTGAAATTAGATGCCCCCCCGTTTGTTGTTATTTGTGTAAATGGATGGAAATGTTCATAGTTTGGACAAAACAAACAAACAAAATAATCAGAGTCAGTCAAGGACAAACTTATGTTTAGACCACGTACAATCCACGGTTTCTCTTAACCTTGAATCAATCAGTTAGAAAGACCTATGTGCATAAATACCACCACAGTTCTAAAATACATATACAGTTTTTGTGGCATTATATAATGGCTTTATCATTGTCTGTGCTACCATTTAATGTAACAGCAGTGTACTTACTGTTATAGTGTGCTCCTACCCCGACTTTACTATAGTTTTTCTTCCCATAAAATATTCCTCTTCTCGCATGACTCTGAGTTTCAAGCTGGATCCCACAGGGGACCCCAGCAGAAAGAAAGCAAGCCAGCTTTGACAGGGGGGGAACTTTGGGATGTTTCTCAGAGAGGTGAATAGTTTAATTCATGCAGTTCATGCCGAGCAGTAATTTATTCCAGTCACCAGCATTAAAATCTCTTAAAACCAGGGGCATACTGGAGGGTAAACCCACCTCCAGTCTGAGCAGCCACTTTTACAGTTGACATTGATCTTTTCATAGGCTACCATTGCTCAAAGTGTAAGGATATAATTTTCATTAAAAATATCATGGTTGGTTTCCTTTGAATGACCCCCTCAATGGAGACCAGAGTTCAGAGTTTCCATTTACCCCTGTAGGGGCTAAATGATTAAAACACCCATTCGTTGCAGTTTTTGTGCCAACTTCCGTTTAGCACAGCGCTGAATAAGCCACAAGACTGGGAGCTGACACATCTGCTACTGTCTTCTGCGTCGGGGTCTGCAGTGGTTTGACTGGTAAAATATAAAAACGATGGCTAAGCCCGCAGATGTAGGCAATTAGCGACCACATTCTTCCTTAAATTATGCAATATGAGCCATGGTTTGGGTTCACAGAGAGAAATCACTTCAGAATCCACTAGGACAAAGTCGGTACTCTTAGTTTTAAGTTCCAACCGTGACAATTCGTTCTCAAAGAAACAAAAAGATACAAACCCAACCCCCTCCTGCTCCAAATGAGGAGGAATGAATGAAGTTGGGAAGCAGACGGACTAAAGCAAAGTTACTTTGTCAGAAAAGTTGACAGATTGCGACAGTGTCAAATATGACCGGGAGATAAACAAAGGACTCGCAGTAACTTAGTTACATTTTCAGCAATTGGACAAGTAACAGAACATGTCAAACCTACCTCTTTCTCTCTGCAACAGTTGCTCCCTCTCGACCCTAAAAACCACTACGAACAAAAGTAGGATCCCAGAAGTGATTCTCCAAGTCTGGAGTGGATCCTGAAGCTCTTCCCCTCCGTCTTTAGCTTAACTCGTGTCTGATATGTTGGATAAGAATCAACGTGGCTCTCATCTGGATCTCAGCACTTTGAATGGAGCTCTGAAGGAAGGATCCACCGGGCGCAGGGAGTGGCTGGAGCGGCGTCTCTGGGATAGTCCAGCGTCCCCTCAACACCTCCAGTGAGATGGGGGAGAGTGAGCTGTGCTGCCTTCAGAGGTTGTCGGAAATATTGAAATCTTATTGTTTTCTGTCCACAACACGTAACACCAACTTTTAGTAATGTGCAAATTTATAACTTCAACAAACCAAGCGACTATATATATATATATATATATCGATAAGTAGACCTAATATTTGAGAATATATTTGTTATAAGTTTATATCTGGCTTATCATTTTGTAAATATTGTAGTTTCAAAATTCAATCTTAACTTAAAAAGAACAAAGTACAGGGATTAAATCCAAGATTTACGAGGTGAAAAGTAACACAACATTAAACTTTTATGATCATTCCGTAGACAGATCGCAGCACAACACCCCCCTCCTGTGTCTTATTTCTAGATAGCAACGACGTGTTGACCGATTGTTTAATTATACTAATCCTGGATTTCTTCAGGCTTGACTGGAGAAGGTTTAAACCATGGATCGGGTTACAGTTTGTTTAGTGACTTTGAACTGTACCTGGAGGGGGGTTATTAAAATCACTGCCGTTACACCATTCTATGCTGCAAAACAGGCAGCTTAGAAATACAATCATTTTGCATTAAACAGTATATTCACCTGCAAATTCACAACTGTTATTTCACTCCGATAATAATTTCTCACGGCTTTAACAGTTTGTGATCTGTACTCTCCCCACACAAGTGTAGTGACCCAAAGAGATTGTGTCAATGCGCATGCGTTTACAATTTACTTTTCAGGTGAAGTGGTTGTGCTGGATACCAGTACTATTAGTTTTTATTTTACGGACTGTTTTTGCTTATAAAGACGATTCCAGTAAGTTTCGGTTTGTTTTTGTCTCCTGTTATTGAATGGCGCTTGTATATTTCAGCGTATTTCAGTGGCACTGCGTCAGGAAAATAAAAGGCTTTTGAAACGGACTGTAGCCAACTAGCTAGCACTGCCCGATGTTGTCTGAGGTCAGATATCCAGAGTGGCTCTACTTGTCTTATAAACTATTCTTCAGTCACATATTCATGGCATTCTGTGAAATACTGTGTAGTCATCTTTTAAGTCGTAGTGTTAACTAACGCCATGTCGCGTAGACGGGTGTCCAAGTATAGTAATACAACAAATCCAATCCAGCTAGAGGGAACGTTAGCTATGTCAAAATGTTACCCGAATTGTTATGTTAACTGACCTTAACGTTGGTATGATCAGTTGCCATTGTAAATGTATTTTGATAAGTGCTGTATAACTAGATGGATAGAAAGTGCACAGGAAATGAAGACATTTGTTTCATTTTATTGTCCTCCTCATGTTCTTACAGTCTCTTCTCTCTGTCTTCTAGAGTGTCTTTTATGAGTAATCAAAGGCAACAGAAGCCTACGCTAACAGGCCAGCGTTTCAAAACTCGAAAACGAGGTAAGAATTATAAGGTGGCAATCATGTAAAATTCTGTTTTACAGTCACATGCTTTTCAGCTTATTTTCCAGAAACTTTCCTTATGATGTCCCAAAAATTAGCTGGCATTTACCTATAAAATGTAAGGGTATTAAAAAGACTTAAGCAACTTGGTACTAATTATAAGGTAAAGTGTTGCTACAGTTGATGCTGTAGGTAAATACACAGAAAGACCAACATAGTATATGGGATAGTGTGATGAGCATCAGCTGCATATTAACATACAGAAAACAAAGAATTGTGTTAGACCCCAGATCTATTGGCAAACAAAGAAAGTGCTATTAAAATAAAGGGAACTCGGATGGAACAGGCTAGTTCATGTAAGTATTTGGGTGTTCATTTAGATCGAGACCTGAGTTGGAACAGCCATGTCTGCTCTAGAATTAGCACCTGCATTTCTTTCGCAGGGTTAGGATCTGTGGTATTAGTCAGAATATTATGCCTTTTTTTTTTGGTAACAAAGCAACATTTGAGACTAACCTAACTGTTAAAGCCAAGACCCAGATCATTAAGGTAGTACAAATAGCAGGAAAGACGACGGGGAATGTCCCACTACCCGCTCTCCCATAGGTGTTCAACTGGGTTGAGATCTGGTGACATTAGCATATGATTCACATCATGTTCATTCTCATCACACCATTCAGTGAGCCCTCATGCCCTATGGATGTGTGCATTGTCATCCTAGAAGAGACCAGTTATTTATTCAGGTTTTTATTTTAATCTGTCACAGTTCTATATGCTTGTAAGTATAATTGCTGGGTTGGTGAAGTTTTATAGCATGGGCCATCATATCAGTTCCAATGCAACTTAAAACTACAGTTAAATGTACAGTTCAATCAGTATACAGCACAAATGTCAGCCACCTTACAGGGGTGGCTGTGGCTCAGGAGGTAGAGCGGGTCGCCTCCTTACCGGAGGATTAGCAGTTTGATTCCCGGCTTGTCCAGTCAACATGTGTCCTTGAGCAAGACACTGAACTCCCAGTTGTTCCCGGTGATAACACCAGTGTGTGAATGTGTGAGCGTTTGTATGGGTGAATGGCCAAATGGTGTGAAAGTGCTTTGAGTGTGCTGTAAAGCATAGAAAAGCACTGTACAAGTATAAGACCATTTACCATAAAATAAAGCATTAAGTTAAATGTCTTGTTTGTTTGAGATTTTTCAGCCATTAAGTCTTCATCAGATTCTGTGCAGAACACCTGCTTGACTCTTTACAGCTTTTCATTGGACTTAACTTTCAATCTAGCAACAGCAAATGTACAAACAGGAATATGGTTTTAAGCTTTCATCACTGAATGCCATGCCTGTTTGTTCACTTACAAAGTGCTGAATGCATCTTAATTGCCACTTTGCATACTAAAAAAACATGTCTGGTCCAAAACTGTTGTGTGCCAAATAAATATACATTGAGGCGTGTTGTTTGTTTCACTGGTGCTGAGGAGTAAGCACACACAGCAACCTAACATACTGTAAATATGCTGGCCTATACAATTTAGAGAATATGTGAATCTATATGTGTTCATGACCTGAATATGACTATGGATATATCTTTTAGATGTCAGAATGTTATAACTAAGTAGGAGGGATAAACTGAAGTTAATTTCTGTTCTTCCAACAGATGAAAAAGAGAGGTTTGACCCTTCGCAGTTTCAGGAAAGCATTGTACAAGGTCTGAACCAAACTGGCACTGATTTGGAAGCTGTTGCAAAGTTCCTTGATACCTCTGGTGCCAAGCTTGACTACCGACGCTATGCTGAGACACTGTTCGACATCCTGGTGGCTGGTGGGATGCTGGGTAAGTGGGAGGACACTTAATATTTGATCTGCCTTCACAAAAAACAAAATGTAGCAATTATTCTTATTGGGGACTTTTTAGCATGATTATTGTTATGATCGTGATGAAGTCTGTCTATTGTGCAGTTAAGCACAATATTCATCATCAGGCTAATGCTAGCCATGATAAGGGCAAACAAGTACCTGCAGTTGTCTTGACTTTGACACAATAGTTATCACAACTGGAATTTTTAAAAATTAACCTTTATGTTCTTCATTCAATTTTATGCAACCATTGACAGTTTCTTGTTGGAGGACTCCTTGAAGACTCACAAGCTTGTGTCTCTTTCCAGCCCCAGGGGGTACCTTGTCAGACGACGTGATCTGCACAGACTTCTGTCTCTTCAAAGCACAAGAGGACATGGAGACCATGCAGGCATATGCACAGGTGAATACCATTATATTCTTTCTCAGTCTGCAGTTTTATCACGGGAAAGGTAAAATTCAAATTTTTTTTTTTATCGTGTTCTGTGTTTCCTTTTAGGTCTTTAACAAGCTCATCAGGCGTTACAAATACTTGGAGAAAGGATTTGAGGAGGAGATAAAAAAGGTTTGTTGTTTGATACAGCTAAACGGAAACACACGGCACCTGTCCATGTCAGGTTTATGAATTCATGACCAGTTTTTATTCTAAAGCAAAACTTAAAACAAGTTGGACTCAATTAAGCCTTCAGGACTGCGTTCATATGTTTGCTCTTCGGCAGCTGCTGCTGTTTCTCAAGGGCTTCACAGAGTCTGAGCGCAACAAGCTGGCCATGCTAACAGGAATTCTGCTGGCCAATTGCAATCTCTCTGCATCCATTCTCAGCAGCCTCTTCAATGAGAACCTGGTCAAAGAAGGTACATGGTTTATTGCTTCTTAGGTTTGCCTAGATGTGCTGTTGATTTACTGCCTGTTTATACTGCTTTTTTGCATTGTTTGCAGTGTTTGTTGCTTGTTAATACTGCTTATTTTGTTATATTACACAGCCTTATGCTGGTTTACTTGCTCCTTGCATGGGGATATGTACATACACATTGAGAGCCGATGTACCAGAGTCAAACTCCTCATGTGTCCGACACACCTGGCCAATAAAGCAGATTCTGAGATTGCTCACCTGATAAGGTCCACGTCTTCAGGCGATAGTAGCAGTAGTAGGACAGAAATGAAATAAGCAGATCTGAAGAGGGGAGAGAATAATTGTGTGCGTCTTCCTGCAGTCTTTATTTAACTTCCTCTTTTGCTACCTGTTCATTAAATTCTAGTTTAAAAACTAGAGTGGGGTGGCTGTGGCTCACGAGGTGGGGCAGTTGTCTCCTGACCAGCAAGTTGGTGGTTCGACTCCCGGTCTCCCCGCATGCCTAAGTGTCCCTGAGCAAGACAGTGAACCCCGAATTGCTCCCGGTGGCTTGACTAGTGCCGTTGTGTGGCAGCCTGTCATCCTCGGTGTGTGAATGGGTGAATGGTGTATCATCTCCTGTAAAGCGCTTTGGCCAGTGCAACACACTATGGAAAAATGCGCTATATAAATACAGTCCACAGAAAACTCTTCTTTTGCTCTTGCTTTTTCTGTCACACTTGTTCCCCTTTACCAACATCTAATACAGCAAATTTGTTGCAAATGCATAGTTTAGTGTCTTTCTTGGATTTCTTAGCATTTATCAAACATTTTAAGAGGTGGACAACTTAATTCCTGCAATTATTAGTCTGAGTAGCAGCCAAATAGGCAGCCATGCAAACAAGTGGACAAACATGAGAGTATGAATGTTTTTAATTTAACCAGGCACTATGGAAAAGCCTTTGTCTATCGTCAGTGGCACTCTGATAAAGATGCACTGCCGCTGCGTGTATAAAAAGTTATTTTAAATCTCAAGTTTGGTGAGTCTTTTGATTCAGGAAATTAAATTGTTCCTCCACTTGCATAAAAATTGTTATTAAAATCTTATTCTTCTCCATGAGTTGTTGAATGGTAAATAATGACACTTATAGTTGCTTAGCTATGGCGTACATTTGGTGGATGTTTTGTTTGTTTCTCTTTGTTTAGTCTGAAAAGTGCTTGCATTACTGTATTTGTCTGAAACAATAAGTATAGAAGGCATTATCCTTTGCAATTCCAATGACAAAAGCATTTCAAGTGATTGAATACACAAACTAAACTTTCAGGGCATTCTCAGTAAACCACTGTAGCTGAATAGACCAGGCTACCCTCAAAGGCCACCTCAGTCTCAAGTTATAATCAGCTAAACTGGACTTTTGAGGCCAATACTGATGGCTATGGTTTTTAAAAGCATAAATGGTGAACCAAGAATTGTGACTATGTGCGGGTGGGTCATTTTACTGTTAAAAAATGTCAGGGTTCTCTGGTGGACAAGTTATGGTCCATGTTTCCAAACTCTGCTTCTCTCTGCTGCAACTTCTTGTTAGTAATTGGCAGACATGTGCTGGCACCAGTATATAAGTGCAATAAATGTATATTCCTAATATCAGTTCATGTCTTCTGACAAAAGTTGCACTTGAATCCACCACAAAGGCAGGGAATAGTTTGTTAGCATGTTGTGTTTGTAATCCAACGTAATGGAAAGACCATTGTCCATTCAGCTTGATGTGTCAAGCCTCTTAAACATATATGACAGACAGAAGGAAGGTGTCTCCTATACTGCATTTTTTGAACTGTCACTGAAATGATCTTCACTGAAATCATGTATTTTGTTCAGGTATAGGTGCATATTTAATATACCTGTGGCTCAAATTCATTTTTTTGACTGCATCATTGTTATTTGAGGCAGTGTTCCAGTTAAAACCTGTCTAATTGCATGCTGTGGAGTTATTTACCAGTGTATTACTCAGGCCTAGCTTTATCCTGGCAGGTCTGTTAGCAACAGCTGACTCACATTTTCATGCATTTGTTCAGGTGTTTCGGCATGCTTTGCTGTAAAACTCTTCAAATCCTGGCTTTCCGAAAAGGACATCAACTCTGTTGCTGCCAGTCTTCGAAAGGTTGGCATGGACAACAGGCTCATGGTGAGAAAGACATCTTAAATACAAACTCTGTACAAGGATTAGGTGAAGTAATGGTCAGCAGTGCGTCTGTGCACTCTAAGTAAGATGAATAGTCAGCATGGATTTAACAGTTCCAAACCATGTTGGCATGTATTCAGGCAGTTAATGAAAAAAGGTCTCTTAATAGCTGAACAAGGCCTGTCTGCTGAAAAGGCTCTGCCTCAGTGTTTGACTGTTTGCCTTTTCAGGAGCTGTTCCCTGCTAACAAACGCAGTTGTGAGCACTTCTCAAAGTACTTCACAGATGCTGGACTCAAGGAGCTTTCAGACTTTGCCAGAAACCAGCAGTCCATAGGTGCTCGCAAGGAGCTGCAAAAAGAGCTTCAGGAGCAGATGTCACGTGGGGACCCCCTCAAGGATGTAAGCCTTGTTCGATTTTCAGCTTCTCTTATACTAATCTAGCCCCTTTTTGTATGACAACACTGAGGGTAGCACTTTCTTCGTCACCTCTGTCCCCTTTTTGTCTTGAGGAGTGCTGGAGAATAGGATGCAGTGAATCAGTGACAAGTTGCTTTAGTCTGCTCCCCCGAACATATTATCTGCTCCTGCAAGCCTCCGTATCCTGCCAGGGTTTTCTTACCTCAGAGCTCTGCAGGATTTGATAAGCAGTAAGCCTCATCATATGCAGGCTGTGGTTTGCCTGCTTTGCTCACAGTGTGTGCTGCATCTCTGATCTCGCAGATCATCGTCTATGTCCAAGAGGAAATCAAGAAGAACAACATCTCGGAGCAGACAATGATTGGACTAATTTGGTCCAGTGTAATGAGCTCTGTGGAGTGGAACAAGAAGGAGGAGCTAGTCACAGAACAGGCCATCAAACATTTAAAGGTGACACCTTTGTTACGTGGCTCTGCTGTTCCTTCACTCAGTGGCAGTTGTGACAACAAACCTGTAAACGAGAGATCTAGAGAAATTGTGCCTCAGAGATGTTTCCGAATTCAGACTGCAGTAGGCTTTGACCTTAGCATAAAAGATAAGTGATCTACTTACCCAGAGTTTATTCCACCAGTAAGGTGAATGTAAGAAATCAGAGAAATATCCCGAACGCCCCTTCCGCCCATTTGTGTGAATGTTTCTTGTTTTATGTTTTCAGCAATACAGCCCGCTGTTGAAGGCGTTTTCAAAAGGAGTATTGTTATGACAACATCCACTTCATGAAGGCGTTCCAGAAAATTGTTGTACTTCTCTACAAAGGTAATTATTTTGTGTCCATAAGGCTCCAGTTACCATCCTCATATCTGCGGAAAAGGTTCATTTGTAGTGTGAAGTAATGCAGGCATATGTGAATGATGCCAGATGGCTGGAGATTATAGCCAAATGTCTGTCCTGACTGATGTCGTCAACCTGGCTGGCGACATTCGTTTTTCAAAAACCTGTAGATGCCTCTGCCTTTTTTTTTTTTTTTTGTTATTTTATTTTATATTTGTGTGTAATTCAAAGCGGATGTCTTGAGTGAGGAAGCAATTCTGAAGTGGTACAATGAAGCCCATCTGACCAAAGGAAAGAGCGTTTTCCTCGAACAAATGAAGAAGTTTGTTGAATGGCTCAAGAACGCAGAGGAAGGTAAGCACCTCACTGTGTTCTCTGCCATTCTGTTTTGGTTCTACACCCCACAGCTGTAGACTGCCCAAAAACATGGCACGAATTTGTGGTTTATATCAATAGTGCTAAATAATGGATGGATGTAACTGATTTGTCCCCTCTGTTTTTTTTCCAGAGTCCGAGTCTGAGGAAGAGGAGGCCGACTGAGTACCACTAGGATACAACTACAATATTGATTTGTATTTTTAAATTAGCACAGCAACAGATGCAGTAGAAGATGGGTTTTTTTTTCACAGAATTCTATATTTCTTTTTTCTTTTTCTATTCTCTACCTCCTCACACATAGTCCAACTTTAATGTAAGGGCTTTAATATTGTTTTTATTTTTGACATGGCTTCTGACTGATTCAATACGTATGCTCCTTTATACCCCTTCAAGAGCCAGTCACAGTGCCACATTTAGCTAAACAGATTGAAACCATGTAACAAAGGCAGGATTTTTATGGAAAGATAGTTCCCTTTTAAAACGAGCCAGTTGGAAGGCATATTTCACAGCTGTTGTATTTAGTCTTGGAACTTATTTGCCAGAGGTCTGTCTGTGTAGCCATGATATCTTGGTCTTCTGAAAGATAAACATTTTATATCTCTGCCAATTGTGTGACAGTTTTGAATTGAATACCAGCTTGGAGAGCGTGCTATTTCACATAGCACTGGTAATAGTGTCAGTGCACCATCAAATGAATGTTAATTGTTCCATACATCTTTTGTTACAGAATCATGCCTGCTTTTTTTTTCTTTGTTATTTTTTTTTTAATAAATGGAAATTAATGCAAATTATTTTCACTACTGATGTATTTGTTATTACTGGGTACATGTAGTCACATCCAATAACAGTGTCTATAAATAAGGACTAATGAGCAATTGGAGAAAGGGTTGCAGTCATATACACACAGTTAGTGATATGGAAAGGTTGTTGTAGAAATTCACGGAACTCCATTTGTTGTGTCACAGTTCAAAATGTGTTCCCCGGAAATTTCCCATTGGTTGATCTCAAGCCTCACCTAATCAGGTAATCAAGAAAAGCATTCTGGCATATGTGACCTGAGGTGAGAAACAACAACCTCATTCATTTCATTGCTATCCCATTTTAAATGGTAATTATGGTTCAGTCAAGCATGCAAAGATGAGAGTGAGATGGTGATTCAAGATGTTATGAAAATGGGGGTTCATGCACATTCATTGGGATGTCTAAAGAACAGACTGCTCATTTTATTTGTATACTGGAAACAAATTTAGATTGTTGAGTGCATATTTAACCACTTTCCTGGCTAGTCATATTAAAGTATCACCAAATCTTGGTGTGGAATTACCAACACAGTTATAATTTATTCTTTTTTTTTATCTATAGGCCTGAGTCTTAAACTGTTTTTTGGAAAGAATCCTTTCAGGTATGTTTGAGCATTTCTGTGCATCTTCCAAAAGAAAAATTAAGCAATTTTGGAAAGAAGTACAACATGCAAAAGAGCTGAATGATTCTTTGTGATTAATAATTGGTTACACCTCACATTTTCTCAAGTGTCTTTTTACCATGGCCTTGATACATAGAAGTATAGAAGTCCAAGTCAGCATGCATGCTGCAAGGGAGTATACTGTACAGTACAGCTGATAATCAGTTTCACTCAGTACCAACAGATGGCAGTAAGTCCTTAAGTGATGCTTCCTCCTCTTATTAAAGCCTTCCCGAATTTTAGTCAAGCTCAAAAAGAAAATGCCATTTGGGAGAAACCAGACTAGAAAGTATTAGACACAGGCGGAAGTACAAAGTATGTGACAGGAGTGTTTTTGCTGCCTCTCTGTCCCAGGAGGATTTGTTTACCTTTTGGTTTTATTTAGTCGCTTGAAAGAACATGAAACAATTTGGGAGAGTAGCATGCTGGCAGGAGGATACACAGCTGCTTTTGAGATTGGTGTGTGTGTAGCGCTGAATGGCAATAATAACCCCCATCCCTTTTTCTGTGCATAGCATTAGCTATAGCATCTTGGTGGGACCGTTATATGCTTGTTAACACTGCCTCACTTCACATCGCACACAGAGAACTCCTACCTGCATGTCTTTTTTTTTTTTTTTTTTTTTACAGGTGTGCATCACAGAAACTTCTGGTATAATGAAATGTGCAGACTGTTTCTTGAAACATCTGTTTGTTTTGCGTATCTTCCATTTTCAACAATTATGTATTCTGTTGGATGTACAGTAATACTTTTTTACATTCAAGGCATGTCAAAGTGTGAAAGTTGGTGGTGGTAAACTGTACAAGACATACTGGTACATACTTTGCCTGCCCCTGGCATTCTTATAGTGACTTTTTATACACATAAATATATATATCCTGCCACATTAATAACAAAAATGAGAAATGAGATGAATTATTTTGTTCCAGGTGTAATTTTCTTTCCAGTTACAAGAAAAAATGTGTCAGAGAAAAACGACTAACTTTATTTTTGGACTTCCTGCTTGAACTGAACAGAGCAGCACAATGTGCCAGGGAATGCCAAGGGAGTTGTGGAGAGCAATTATTCTGGATTTCACACTGCGGCTTTGGTCAGTAAACATGACTCAGACTGCAATGCAGAACTCATCTGAATAATGCTGTCAGAAAACAGAGGGAGCCGGGGCAACGGTTCTTTTGAATGAGAAGAGAGAGACTTGAGATAATTACTCCGCTTTCAACAAAAAATACTACTCCCCTCTGTCTGTGCCACAATGTCCTGCACACAAAAGATGCACTGTTTTTGTTTCGGGCAAATTGTAAATGATATCTGTTTACTTTGCATTTCAAGCAGCATTGTGTCGCAGGCCAGTTTTTTCTGCTCTGCTGCCTCTAATGCTCGGCTTAGCACCCAGGTGAAATATGGAAATGAAAATCAACATGTTGACTCACTAAATGCTGCCAATTTGTCCTCGGATCAACTTTTGCCAAACACCCTAGAGCAGTGTAGCCTCCCAACCTTGCTGTAGTCATATTATGGACAACTGAGCACATCTGTGACAGGATATAGCCACTAATCTGCTGACAGCCTCTGTTGTCTCTCAGATGCCCCAACTCAACTCATGTTGGTCTCTGTTTCTGGAGGTAACCTCACCAGATTTTTTTTTTTTCCAGGAGCCTGACTGCATGCTGCTACCTTTCTCCTGTTGTAACCTGGAACCATTATTCTCAAGGTTATTCATCATGTATAATGGTCTTATTTCAAAAGCAGCTTAATTATAGTTGACAACGTTTTAGACCGTGGCTGCTGCTTGACGGAAAGTACAGCACATTCTTTGGGCTTAGTCTCTGTATCTCTGGCTCTTATTGGCCTTGGACCTAATTTGAAGGCAAAAAGCAAGAAAAAAGGTTCACACACTGTATTGAGCTCCCAATAATTTAATTCAGTAGCAGCATGGGAATTCCCATGTGTGATGTTCCCATGTGCGAACTTTTTTCTTGCTTTTTGCCTCTAAGCTGTTGTTGGTTTAGCACCTGTAAAATATTTTTTTGGATGTGCATGTCCTCTGTTCTTTGTTTGACTTTGTTTAAATTTGGGGAAAAAAACTTTGTGAAATTAAGGTAATAAGAACATCCACTAATGTCCAAAAAACAAAGCGAAACAACAACAAAACAGTATAATGTTCATTTTCTTAATGTTTGTGCTTTCAGTTTCATATGCATTTTCGGATTTGCAGTGCATTTCCTAAATACTTCTTCGATACTGGTGACTTTTGTAGGCTATGTGTTTTTGGATTTGCAGTGCATTTTTGTAATGTTTTTTGCTTTCAGTTTTGTATGTGCTTTGTTCCTATAGGGGCCACTGTACTCTACACACAGAGCAAACACAGCTGAGAGGCTAAAGTGAAACTAACCAATTAACAACACCCATGCTTGGTTTGGTATGTGCAGTATAGACGAGTAAAAAGCCAGTAAGAATTGTTTATCAAAACACCTGCTAAACAAGCATAAACTTGCAGATTATATCTCCTCCAGGCAGCCTCCTTGCTCCTAGCTCCTCTGTCCTCGCTCCTCAGAGCAGAAATAATAGTTTTGGGACATCCTTCATGGTAAATTCTCACTTGACCTGTAGGTTGAGCGAGGATCAAGGACAGAGGAGCAATATAATAAGGGAGCTGGGATTCACCTATGGTCAATATAACATACAGTGCTTATGCTGGCAAGCTTTAGTGTTAGTTAGTTAGCTGTACATGCTAATTTTATTTTCTGTCTTATGTTGCAGTGTTTAAAGTTTCAGATGTGCTCGAGGGACAGGATGTGGTCAGAGTCAGCTACTACTGGTCCGTAAAGTTGTTCCATGAAAACTGGCAAATCTGTTTTTGAGACAACCAGTGTAATACTCTGGAGAGACATGGCAACTGCACATGTACAGTAAATGCTGCCTCTTAGTACCTTAAAATATGGTCCTTCGTCATGCCTACTTGCCTGCACCCATTCTAGTTTAAGTTGTGGGTCCTTTGGGAACGAATGAAAGGACAGGTATGGCTGTTTTTGATTGGAAAATGAGCACTCAGGTACACTATAAAAACTCCAGTTTTTAGATTCCACCACTGTAGTTTTGTCTTGCACTCGGCTCGGAAGTTGCCTGGCCCTATGCCATTACACCTAAAAGCAATATTCCTGAATGTCTTGTGGTAATCAGCCCATTGGAGCAGCTCCATGGTCTGCTGTGGATAGCTCTATGTTGTCTCACCTCCCTCATATGTGTCTCCCTCACTAACTATGGTCAGTTCAGAACTGCTCTGACCACCTGCTTTCTCTGCAGGTGTTTGTAGCATCAGTGGACTGTTGCTGATTTAGATTACATGAATAACATGGTTTTAAACTAGACAGCTATCAGCAAGCCCAAACCTCTGCAAACTATCCCTATGCCATTACACCTAAAAGCAATATTCCTGTGATAGTATGACCTTCATAATATGATTTTTTTGACCATGAAAACTTGCCCCTAGCACTTACTAAATGCCATAAACAGCTAAATAAATGTCTCATGCAGACTGAAAGAACAATGTGTGCTTACAGTCCTTCATGATGCACACAACTCACACCATTTGGCTGCATGTAAGTCCACTACACTTACTAGCTCCATTTATCTTTGCTCCAAGTGAAAAACTAGATCTGGATGATGATCTGGATCAACACCATGGGCACCAAATAATTTCATCTGAATTCTTTCATTACTTTTTGAGTTATGCTATGAACAAACAAACCAACCAACAAACAATTGGCAGTATATACACTGCTCAAAAAAATAAAATAAAGGGAACACAAGGGAAAATAAGACATTCAACTATGTAATGAACAAGGTATTTAATAAGAATATTTCATTCATTCAGATCTAGGATGTCTTATGTTGTGTTCCCTTTATTTTTTTGAGCAGTATACGATGGATGACATGTCACCACTTACACTTCACATTTTGCAACCAGATTCTGTGTAGTAGTGACCAGAAGTAGAGTGACAGCATCAGACCACCAATAAACATTGTTAAATATTTCAGAATGCAGCCCTTCTTATATCATCACTATAAGTATAATAACGTATAACGTATTAAAAGCAGATTTACCAGAAAAATGATCACTTGTACACACGTCATTTGATATTATCTACCAGTAATGACAGAAATAATCTCTGGAAAGCATTTATTTGATTTATACTTTGAGATTTTAGTTTGGATCATATCACATCTACTAACATGGAGGAGGTGGGCCTTATGACCTATACTGTAACCTGCCAAAAGGGGGCAATTTTCAGTTATA